AATAGACACTTCTCCAAAGAGGACACAGAGAGAGATGGCCAAAAGACATATGAAAAGATGCTCAACATCACTAGCCATCAGAGAAATGCAAATTAAAACCATAATGAGATACCACCTCACACCTGTCAAAATGGCTATCATCAATAAATCAACAAACAAGTGCTGGTGAGGATGTGGAGAAAGGTGAACCTTGTGCACTGTTGGTAGGAGTGCAGACTGGTGCAGTCACTGTGGAAAGCAGTATGGGGATACCTCAAAACATTAAAAATGGACCTGCCTTTCGACCTAGCAATCCCACTTCTGGGATCCGGACAAACCCAAAACAGTAACTCAAAAGAACATAAGCACCTCTATGTTCATTGCAGTGTTATTTACAATGGCTAAGATAATGGAACTTGCCCAAGTATCTATCAGTAGATGAGTGGATAAAACAACTATGGGGCATTTATATGGTGGAATGTTACTCAGCAGTAAAAAAGAATAAAAATTTACCCTTTGTGTCAGCATGGATGGACCTGGAATACTTTTGAAATTTGTGAAAATACTTTTCACAAATTACTGAAATACTTCACCCAGCCAAAATTTAACTCTGTGGAAAATTTTGTAATTGGAACAGGACACAAAATATACCATTCAGCAGTTAAAATGAAAAGATCATACTTTTCATTCTTTAAAGAAACCAACCTTTCATTCTGTTTGTTTTCACTTGTTTGTTATAATTTTATAATTCCTTCTATTTACCTTATTCACTCCTATACCTAAATGGCTGAGCACCCTTGGATAAAAACCAGGACAGATACAAAGACATTATTTTATATGATGTTACTTTTTATTAAACCATCTACACCACCTGCCAATTTTTTAAAATGTATTTTTGGTAAATTTCCTTTTTCATATACCTCAGTAGCCATTTCCAACTTCAGTTTAGCTATCCTGCATAAAAACCAGCATTCCTAACCCTTACTACCAAAAGATGACCTTACCTTCTTATTCATGACAACCATTCTTTACAAACTTATGTTGATACTTTATATCCTTAACACTTTTCACCTATTTTAAAGGAAGTATTCTTTCTCCACCTCCAATTTATGACTGATACCTTAATTGATGCACCATGAAGGAAGGGGAAGACTCATTAATTGATGTTCCTGCTCAGGGACTCTGCTCCACAATTTATTTCCTGCCTCACATATATTTATTTAACCTCACTCTGTTTTGGTTTCTGCCATTCAGCCAGTAAATATATTATCATGTCTTCCATTATTCAAAAAAAAAAAAAAAAAAAAAATCTGCCCTGGCTGGTCTGGCTCAGTGGATTGAGCGCCGGCCTGTAAACCAAAGGGTCACTGGTTCAATGACCAGTCAGGGGACATGCCTGGGTTGCAGGCCACGTCTGGCTCCCAGTAGAGGGTGTATGAGAGGCAACCACACACTGATGTTTCTCTCCCTCTCTTTCTCCTTCCCCTCTCTCTAAAAATAAATAAAAATAAAATATATTTTTAAAAAATCCCTCATGTTTTACTCTTTGTACATTATCAACGCCTTTCTCCCTCCCTGTTGGAAAGCAGACAGCGTGCTTACTTCTTCACCTCTCATTTATTCCACAATCCCACCTCCTGAAGCTTTACGTTGGTACCTTCACTTGAAGCTACAGAAAAAACAACATAGTTGACACTGGACGAAACCAATCAAGAGGGATGGGGGAATTTTTGGTTTCACAAATACCATAATTTTGTCTAAGACTATGCCTGTTGATGGAAGCTGGAACTGCCAAAAGGAACTAATTATGAGTTTCTGCTTGGCTCCAAATTGAAGAAAATAAAACTGTAAACAGTAAGGTGCTTAACATTTTCACAAATTGGGCACAGGATGAGTATAAGTATTAAAATGCTTTAAAAGTCTCTTATGTTTATGCGTTCATACAATGTTTGAAAGTTAAGTTCCTTCTTATATTTCCTTTAGATTAAAAACTGAAGTCCAGGGATTGATTTGCACCCTAGTTATTTCTGTAAAAGCTAATAAAAATTAGTTCTATATCTTTCATAAAAATAATCTACCTCAAGATGCAAAATCTTTCCAAAGGAACTAAATGTTAGGTATGAAATCTTGACTGTTGGGTTAGCCAAAAAGTTCATTTGTGTTTTTTTTTTTCTATAGATAGCTCTAACAGTGCTTAGTTATCTTTAATTTCATTCAAAACAATTTTGTTAGATTGTATTGACAGCTGTAATATCAGCATGCATTTAAAAAAACTTATCAAAATTGGTGAAATTTGTGTAGCCATTTTAATATTGAAGATGGAAGTATCAAATACGTAACATTTTCGACATATTATGGTTTATTATTTCAGGAAAGGTAACAATGCAACTGAAACAAAGATTTGTGCAGTGGATGGAGAAGATGCTGTGACTGACAGAACGAGTCAAAAGTGATTTATGAAATTCCGTGCTGGAGATTTCTTGCTGGACTGTACTCCACCATTGATAGACCAGTTGAAGTTGATGGTAATCAAATCAAGACATTGAGAACAATCAACGTTACACCATGTGGGAGATAGCTGACACACGCAAAATAACCAAATCAATACAGCTATTAGTGAAAATGAAAGGTGTGTCTTTTATAGAAAAACAACTAAATGAACTTTTTGGCCAACCCAATACATACTTAACTTTCTCACCTCATACAGGGTTATACCCTACTTTAAAGTTGGTGAAGGTTAAACTAGATAACATGTGTAAAACCATAGTTCTAGGCACATGTTAAATTAACCCCTTCACCTTAGCACAGTGCCATTCTCCCAACAGGCATACACCTATTAAAGGTAAAGGTGTACCAGAAAGGAGCAATATTAAAACTTTGTGAACTACGTGAAACAGAAAATGTGGGAAAAGCACTACCTGTTCATACTAACAACCTTCGAATGAAAAGCTTCAATTAAAAGATTACTAGAAGATAGTAAGTATTTTATTTTGAGAGAATTCAACTATGAAATGTACTTGGATGAAATTTCCAATTATTTTTCTCTAAAAGTGTAAAAGATGGCATATGATTTATAAAATGGACAGAAGTAGCACATACACAAAGCTGAAGCTTCTGGTTGAGAAAAACAACTCTCATCCTTCCCTGGGAGGAATGAATCTTAAATATACAATGTTTCCTTAGATATAAATAAAAGACAATGTATCAAAGGGATTTAAAAGGAAGGGAGGTTTTTCTCTACCCCCCCTCATAATAATATGCATGACCAAAATGAATCTTCTCCAAATGTTTGGCGGGGGGGGGACATTTGCATTTTTAGAGTTGGTGTAAATCAGTTAGGTTTAACAGAATGCATCAAGTTGACTGCTTTCTGAAAAATTATTCTGGGGTGGAGAAAGCAGGCAATCTTTCCCACAAAACAACTCCTATAAAACATACACATATATGAGAACATATACATCTATTAAATATCAGTTTACATTGTTCAAGCTAACTTAAAAAAGCAAGAGGAAGTATTTAAGATGTAAAAAATAAATCATACTCTATTCGTGGTCAAATTTGGTATGGGTGGCTATTGGAGAAAAGGAGTTATCCACGCCAACTTCAAGGCAAGGAGAACTGAATAATAAATCCACTGTTCACACTCAAATGTTGCGGCGGGGGGAGGAAAAGGGAGGCTCCAAGTCCATAAAGTTCTCCTCCCTCTCTAAACACTGCAAAAATTGTCCACATCTAAAGACTGTTACCCTTGAAACTCCTTGGAGAGTGACTTGGAGACTTTTTGTTGCGATTTTCGAGGGGGAGCGACTTAGGAATGCTGCAAGATTGCAACTTCCAAATACATGAATGTAATTTAAATTCTAAAGTATTTTTTCTCTTAGGATTCCCCCCTTCATTTCAAGTAGTTTATTAACACTTCCATATTAATAAATCCCCAATTTAACTCCAGGTACAAATGAAAACCAAAGCTTTAACGAACAGGCGAATAATACACACAACTGTTTCCAATAATTCCTCAATTCCCTCTCGATTAAGATGAGAAAAGAGAAACCAAGCAACACGAAGCGGAGAAAAATACTTGGGAAGGAGGGCGGCGAGAGGAGAGAGTAGGAAGGGGACGGAGGTGGGGGAGAGCAGAGCAAAAGATCCAGCTGATGCTGACATTTAATTGGGAAGAGAGAGCAGAAAATATCCCGAAGACACAGGCTAGGAGGGAAGGACCTGAGTGGGACAGGGGCGCAATAGAGAAAGTCCACGCAAAGGCCTACCCCGGGGGGCACAGTGTAGGAGGGGACACCAAAACGGGGACAGACTCGTTTGGAAGAGATACCGATCAAGGCCCAAGATCTTGAATGACCGAGACTATGGAGCTAGGGTGTCTCTACCCTGGCAACCCGGAGATTGCACCAGATGTCTCGGAGGCCATCATGCTACGAGGGGTGAGGGGTTAACTACGGGGGTTCGCAGACGTGGAAGGGGGTGCGGCCCCTCGGGTTGCGGCAGGAGAGCGAAGAGCAGGCCCACGGTCCGTACCTTGTAGTAAACATCGAACTGGATGTTCTCCGGCAAGGAGCGGATATCTCGGCGGGAACGGATGTAGTTGTCCACGACGGCGGAGATGGCGGTGTTGTAGAGAGTCTCTGGGATCCACTCTAGTTCCACGGCCGCCATCTTCCTTCCCTCCTCCTCCGCCTCCTCCGCCGCCTCCTCCCGAAGGCCCCCGCCTCCCTCCGTAGCGAACTCCTCTGCGGCCCCGGAGGATTCGGAGGGGCGGCAGCAGCCACCCACGCGGGAACACGGCAGAAGGGCACGGCCACCCTGGCTTTTCCGGGGGCGAACTCTGGGGCAGCGGCAGCGGACGTAGGCCCGGGTAAGGATCGGGACAGGGAGCAGGGCACAGTGGGCCAAAGCCTCACATTCCGGGTTTGAGAGAAACCCGGGTTCCGTCCCAGCGCCGATCTCTGCAGGGGCGGGGCTGCGTGTGCGCCGTCATGACGTCATTGCACGCTGACGCGCTGGAGGGAAGGAATGCGGCAGGCGGAAAACTTGGAAAGAAAAGAGCTGTGACCATCCCTTCTACCGAGAACATACTTTTCTTCTAAGGAACCGCAGTTGTGTGGATGCAGGTAGACTTTTTACAGTGGGACGAGTTACTCCAGCATTTTTACCTGCGCGTTCCGAGTCAGTTCGGGCGAATCAGTCCTTTCAGCAGAACATGCCTTAGGCACTTAACCTTTCGTGGCTCAGGTAAAAATTTGGATCCTCTTCTCACAAAAATGCACAATTATGAGTACACTGATAATTATACATTCAGGGAATTTACATTACTCTAGAAACCTTGCTTAGATTGCAGTCCCTAAGCCAAGTTTAGAACCTTTGGTCCTGGAACTAGGGGTCAAGATGGAAGGCAGACTTGAATTTCATGGCATAACCGTTCTCATTGTTTGAACCTTTTTTTTTAAACCATGTTTCTTTTTCCAAACAAAATTTAGAGAGAAGAAAAGAACTCTTGCTTTAGCAGAATTTAGTAGGCAGGTTAACCTGATTATGGAATTAGCAAATAATTCCATAATCACTAATATGGAATTAGTGATAGGACTCTGTAGTAGGATAGAAATGAGGATTTCCATTTTTTCCCCATAATTCTAGTCTGGGCTTCAGGGGAACTGTTGAATAATTGAGAGTACTTGTTTTGGCTTCCATTCTTCCTCAGCCTGAACATCAGCTGTTTGTGTAGTCCTTGTCTATATCAGTTCTTACCACATAACTAAGAAAGCTGTGGTTGGCCTTAAGGTAGCATTGCCAGATTTAACAAGTAAAAAAATGCAAATGTCCAGTTATGTTTTAATTTCAGATAAACAATGGTAGTTTTTTTAATATGTTACATGCTGTAGTTTTATCCACCCATGTCAAGTCGCTCAAGCACACCAGTTCCTTCAGCAAATCCTCAGTTCTTAGACCTAGACCTTTGGAAGCTGTTTGAACCTCTTCCCCGCCAAATGCATAATTATCCATGTAAATATTTATCATTCATCTGAAATTCAAATTTAACTGGGCATCAGTATTTTATCCAGCAACCCTGCCTCAAAGGATCCACGAATCCCCTGAAATTGAATGCATATGTTCTAGGACATGTTGGTTGAATCAGGACCTGGGCTCAAATCCTATAAACAGGTTGTATTAGACACCTGTATTGATTGCTGTGTGGACCTTAGATGCTGCTGGACAAGACTAGACATCCAAAAATGTATATAGACAGTGGTGACTCTGTGTTTGAAAGGGCCTCTTGGTCCCTTCATTGTTTTGAGATTGAAAGTTACTAAAATGTGTGTGATAAACTGGGAGGCCCTGATCAGGGGCAGACAGGTTGCCCAAAAGGACAGGGACACAGAAACAATTCACCTTGAGGGATGGAGGAGTCAGGATCAGTGGGTTGGCATCTGTGCAAAGGACCAGAGGGGAACATTGACTCAGAACTAGAAGCCTTCTATAGGCTTTGACCTTCAAGAACTGGCTGAACAGACAAACCAGAGGAAACTAGGCCATTTTTGTTGTGGACCAACCAAAACTGAGGAAGAACTCTTCTCCCTTATACCTTAGAACAGCGGTCCCCAAACTTTTTGGCACCAGGGTCTGGTTTCATGGAAGACAATTTTTCCACAGATGGGGTGGTAGGGGGATAGGGGGACAGGATGGAACAGGGACAGGGGCTATGGGAGACAGGAGACAGGAGGCAAAGCTCAGGCAAAAATGAGAGCCAGGCTCGGCTAGCTGGGGGGACCTCCTGCTGTGCAGCCTGGTTCCTAACAGGCCATGAGAGGTACCAGTCTGTGGCCAGAGGGTGAGGAACCCCTGCCCTAGGAATTTAATAAATCCCAGTGAACTCAATAATTATATATAAATACTGGCGTTCATATTTTAGATGATAGCTTAGCATCATCTAAGTGTTTAGTGGTCAGGGCCAGATCAAAAAGAGGCTTAAATGGGATGTTAATAGCTTTGGACTTTATTTTGGAGATGCTAGGGAGTCTATAAAGGATTATAAGCAGGGAAGTAAAAGGAACAGTGTGTCAAAAGGAAAACAGCAGTTGTCTATTACCTACAGAGCCAGAAGGAGGTAAGAATTTTGCTTTGTCAGCTACAGAAGGGTAGAATAAGAAAGAGGGCTGCTAAACTGTCATGGCCACCTATGCATTTTGGTGGACAGAGGTCCTTTGTGTCACAAAGTTACCCTTATAGTCCATCAGATGCCCTTTAAGCCATGACTACCGGTAGCCTCAAATTTAGCAGAAGGCCTTGTACCAAACAGAGCTATATGAGACATGGACCTGCTCCAAAAAGAATTCTGATCATCTTAAGAGGTGATACACATTGTGACCATTTAAAAATTGTAATTTCTTCCTTATTCAAGGTGTGGGGTCTAAGTACCCTCCTCTTGAATCTGATTGAATTGTGTCTGCTTCAACAAATAATGCATAGGAGAAGTGATGCTAGGTCAGAAAAGGACATGCAGAATCTGTTGTGTTCTCTGGAATACTCACTCTTGGATTCCTGAGTCACCATGTAAAAAAAGATGCATTACCCTAAGACCACTATGCTCACAGAAAGCCAAGCCACATAAAGAGGCTATGTGTAAGCACTCTGGTCAACGTTCCCAACTCAGGTACCAGCTGTGTCAGTGACGAAACCAACAATGATTCCAACTTCAAGACATTTGAGTCACCCTGAACCACTCTAGCGTTCCCAGATGATGGCCCATGGAGCTGAGCAGAGCATCCCTGCTCTGTTCTGTCTGAATTTCTGACCTGCAGGAACATAATAAAAGTGGTAGTTCATTTATATCACTAAGGTTGGGGTGTTTTTTTTGTGGCATAATAGATCGCTGGAACACCCCATTCCAACCCCCCAAAGTTCCTAGGAACCCATCATTTTCCATTTTGAACCTCTTTCCTCTCTTGGCTACATATTACTAAGCATATGAATTCATTCATGAAAATGATACAATTCATAATCTGTAATGGACAATTTTCTAAACTTTATGCTTATAAGAGTGAACTGCCTAACCATAGAATATCAAAATGGAGACAATGATTTTTGTTCTAAATTTGTAGTCTTTTCAGAGTCCTCCAAGTCTAAATCCACATATTCAACACCCATCAACTACAGACCACCAATCAACACATGGATCTCACAAATAGAGTCGCCAAGCTACCCCTGTTGCACCATGCTTATTGGCAAAATGACTGGGTTCTGTAACTTGCAACCACCAAAGAACAGAGCAAGACTTTGCCAACAAGTTCTTGACCAGTTCTCATTCCTCAGTGCTATTACCCATATTTGCAGAAAACTCAAGGGTTTCCTGAGTACGTTCATTGTTATTATCCATCTTGTCTTGGCCCCTTTATAGTCACCCTGCCTGCTACATGTGACATTCTGTCTCCAAAATTAATCCAGACTGCTACCTGTCAGGATGCTCCCCCTATCTTGTTCTCTACTGTTTTCATTAACATACATAACACTGCCATTTGACCCTAAGAAACAATGGATAATATACCCTTTCATTTGCCAGGCTTTATTTTGAGGAAGTCCATTTGGAACTTTGCCCTATGCAGTCTGCCTACTTACCTGACAATCAGAAGTAGAGAATCAGGAGGTCTGAGTGGTTTTGGGTGTATACTGTTTTGGTTGCCCAGTATAGGGAATAGAAGTGTATGGATCATTCGTGGAAAGACAGAACATAATAACAATACAGTACGAGAAATACTGTAGTAGAGTTTTCACAGGATATTCTAGGAGTACTGAGGAGGAGAGAATAAGTTGGTTTTGGATATAATAAATGCTGTAAGAGTCTCAGTATAGGCCAATTCCCAAAGTATTTTTAGTTGCAATGAAGTTCACAGGAAAATAATACTTGAACAGATTTATTTGAACAATTATAAATGGGTTCATTTCACCTTGACATGACAACTGCAATTTCTGGGACATTTTCTAATCATCAGAAAGTGAAAACTAGAAAATTGTGAATCAAAGTTGTGTTTCTTTATTTGTGACAGTGAAAAGTTATGACTTTTTCGATTAAATAGAATGTAGGGACAAAGTAAACTATATGCAAAGTGGTATAGTCATATAATAATAACTCTTGAGCCATTTGATAGAGATACAATTATCCTAAGTGGATCCAGTCCACCTCCAACTGCCTACCGATCATTTCAGTTAGAACGTACAAATGACACAGATTTTTAACTTAGAAGACAAAATATATAGCAAGGTCATTTACCAAGCTTAACAGTATACTGAAGAATTGGGTCCAGTTTTGGATTTTTTAAGGATGATATACCCATAAGATACACAGCGGGATTTGGGAAAGGTTTCAAAAATTATCAAGGAAAAAAAACTTGATAATTGTTGATGATAGTTGAAGGCAAGAGAGTTTATCATAAGAGAGGGAGAATGTGTAATTTAAAAGAAAAGAAGCCCTGGCTTGTGTGGCTCAGTGGATTGGGTGCTAGCCTGCAAACCAAAGGCTTGCTGGTTCGATCCCCAGTCAGGGCATGTTCCTAGGTTGTGGGCCAGGTAGGGGGCATGTGAGAGGCAACCACACATTGATGTTTCTCTCCCTTTCTTTCTCCTCCCTTTTCCTCTCTCTGAAAATAAATAAATAAAATCTTTAAAAAGAGAGAGAGTAAAAAGAAAAAGTTAAGAGGTCACATTATAATCAGCCCTGTAAATCTCTTAAGTGTTTTATGTTATAATTTAATTATATCATGTTTGGATACCTTATCTCCTTAATGAGTGCATAAACATCTTGTGTATCTGTGTATTGGACAATAAATATTTCTCATTTCAGATACCAAGCTTAATGCAGTCATAGGGTGAGCATTCAGTAACTGAATTGATAAATGAATAGGCCTTCCTGCCTATCTTTAGGGAGAAAAAAACAAAGTTTTATGCATCCTAAAAATTTTAATGTACTTCTTTTAAACAAATTTTTAAAAACATACATTTTAAAATATTGTTCCTTTTTAGAAAATTGTAGTAAATATACATAACATAAAATTTACTATTTTAACCATTTTTAATGTATAATGCATCGGCATTAAATATATTAATAGTGTTATGCAGCCATCACCATTGTCCATTACTAGAACTTTTTCATCATCCCAAACAAAAACTTTGTACCTATTAAACAGCAATTCCCCATTTTCCCCTCTTCCCAGGCCCTGGTAACCTCTAATGAGTTCTCTATTCCAGGTACCTCACATAAGTGGAATTATACAGTAGTTGTCCTTTTGTATCAGGCTTATTTCATTTAGCATGTTTTCTTACCTTTTTCCTTTCTCTATTCTTTCCTCTTTTTAAAAAATGAAGGATGTATTGAGCCATATCTAGCCAGGAAAAGGACCAGGACTTGGGGCATGCAGTGTGAGTCACCAGCAGCAGAACTAGATGGGGAAGACAACATGTCCCATTTAGCATATGTTTTCAGGGTTCATCCGTGTTGTATCATGTATCAGAACTTCACTCCTTTTCAAGCCTGAATAATATTTTATTTTATGTATATACTACATTTATTCATCCATTCATCTGTCAGTGGCCATTTGGATTGTTTCCACCTTTTGGAAATTGTGAATAATGCTGCTGAGAACATAGGTGTATAGCCCTGACTGGTGTGGCTCAGTGGGTTGGGCATTGTTCCACAAACCAAGAGGTTGCTGGTTCTATCCCCAGTCAGGGTATATGCCTGAGTTACAGGCCAGGTCCTTAGTTGGGGATGTGCAAAAGGCAACCAATTGATGTTTCTCTCTCACATCCATGTTTCTCTTCCTCTCTTCTTCCCTTCTCTCTCTAAAAATAAATAAATAAAATCTTAAAAAAAAAAAGAAAACATAGGTGTACAAACATCTATTTGAGTCCCTGTTTTCAATTCTGGGTATATGCCTAGAATTGCTGGATGATAAGGCAATTCTACATTAGCATTTTGAGGATCTGCATAACAGTTTTTCATATCACTTTTTACCATTTTATATTCCTACCAGCAGTGCACAAAGGTTCCAATTTCTCTACATCTTCACTAACACATATTTTCCATTTTTTAATAACATCTATCCTGATGGGTGTGAAGTGGTATTAAAATGTTTTTATGTTGCCCTGGCTGGGTAGCTCAGTTGGTGAGAGCATTTTCCTGATACGCTAAAGTTGTGGTTTGATCCCCTGTCAGGGCACATACAGGAAGCAACCAGTGAATGAATCAATAAGTAAAACAACAAGTCAATATCTCTCTCTCTCTCTCTCTGTTTCTCTTTCTCAAATCAATAAATAATAATTAAAAAATTTTTTATTTCACAAAAATTCATATTAGTCCAATAAGAAGAGAAAATATTAATATAGTCAATGTGCAAATTCCAACTTAATTTATAGATGTTTCCTCAGCTGTTCAAATAGGTATATGTATAAGGATGTTTATACATTTTGTTTATGTGGTAAGATACCAGTTGTAAAATATGAACAGCAACCCTTCCCCCGCATTGAAGTAGCCGATAGAATGTTCTATGCCCATTTGTTTTAAGTGAGAGAACACAGAAGAGGAAAACAAGGAGCCTTTTCTTTGTTTTTGTGTTTCAAAAGTCTAGGCTCTGAGCTTTGCGCAGTGGCAGTATCGTAGCCAATGAGGTTCATCCGAGGCGCGATTATTGCTAATTGAAAACAAAAAACAAACAAAAAAAAAGTCTAGGCTCTGAAGGGAAACAGAAAGAACTCATGCAGAGAAAATACAGTAGATTTGATGAATAGAGCTCCCCACCCCTTTCACCAGCCAGTTTCTCTGGAAAGAAGGAAGGAAGAAGGGGGAAAGCCCCAAGTAGAAAGTATAGAATATATAAAGTGCCATATACCCTGTCCCCTCACTGCCACGACCCCTCACCCCCACACTGTTTCATAGGTTCTAGAGTAGAAATAAAAAAAGATTTGGGGACATTTGAGAACAGAGGGTTTAGTTTCATAAATAGAGTCCAGAAAGGCAGTAAGAATGAAAAGTGTGATCAGCTGCCTGATAGGCCAGGCAGATGAGCCTTTGACAATGTCACAGGTCCCCCCAGCATGATATGGGAGTAGTAGAATGGCTGTCTTTAATTACCTGGGGTTAACCAGCATCTGTGAAGTGTTCGGAGCGGCCTAAGAGTTGCTCAGAACAACAGAATCATTTCTGTGTGCCTAAAAGCCTTAGCTTCCTAGGGATGGCTGCTGACAGCCTATCACAGGGACTGACAATTCCAATGTACCAGAAAGTGCTTTTGAGGGAGAAGAGAAAAATCTGTCTCAAAAAATAAGGAACATCTTGACGTCCAAAGGAGGAAAAGCACAGCAATGATGGGCATGGACTAATTTTTAATTTTGGTCCTTGGACCACTTGACTCAATACTCAAATTCCAGGGATAGAGAATCTGATTAGCTAGGTTGGGCCAGGAAGACAAGGCTATATAATTGTCTGTCCACCAAGATTATATCCAATGTAAAAAGGGGTAGTTGCCTAAGGAAAAAAATCAGGTGGTGTTACCAAAAAATAAGGGATGTCTGGGATGAGCATCCCTTGTCAGGGATGTCTGGCAAACAAAAACTACAGATGTCTCCCAAGGCTGAATTCACCAAATGTATTTACTGGGTCAAAAATACAATAAAAAAAATCAACTTTACTAAGGCATAGCTTATATACAATAAAAATTGTACACTTTAAGTGTACAGGTTGATTACTTTTGACAAATGTACACATGTATGTAACCACTCCCCCAATCAAGGTATACATTTCCGTCTCCCTGGAAGTTCCCTGGTGCCCTTGTGTAGACGGTCTCCCCAGTTGCCCCATGCCAGGCAACCACTGATGTGGTTTCTAGTATTATTGATTATTTTTGTTGGTTTTAGAATTTCATATGGAATAATCTAATATTTTATTTATTTCCTACTAGCTTCCTAGCTATACCTCTTTATTTTTTTTTTCAGTGTTTTCTCTAGGGCTGATAATATCTATTCTTAACTTACCAAAATCTTCTTAAGACTCAACACTGTGTATCTCTTCCCATTTCCCACTTTCTACTTAACCCTTAACCTTACTTATCTGACACTTCCTGCTTCACAATTAAATAACTTGCCAGCAAATAAGAATTTACAAATAAATTCACTTGCCCTCCTGTTCTTTGCTGTCATATGTTTTCCTTCTAAAATACATTTATTGTCTTTTTTGTTTTAAATGGTCATTGTCTTTTAAGTAAAGTGTAGGGAAGAAGAAAACTGTCTTTTATGTTTTCCTGCTTGCATCTTCTGATGCTCTTATCTTCCTTCTTAAGATCCAACTACTTGGAAAGATAAACCATTTTGGGGGCTCAACTTATAAGTGTTTTATACTATATTAATTCACATTCCTGCCAGTAGTGGCAGTGATTTTCCTATATAAAAATCAGAGCAAGTTAGGAAATGAAATGGAAGGGATGATTATAAGAGCAATAAAAGTAAACTACTGAAGAATAAAGTTAGTAAGAAATGTGAAAGACCAATGTGAGAAAAGCCATAAACCAATAAAGGTATGTGAAAGAGGCTTTTAATGAGAGGGAGGAATTGCTTTGTCCCCAGAGAGAAAGACAGTGTTATATAAATGTGATTTCTACTTTATTCTCAACAGTTCATGTCAATTTAATGGTCAATACAGCATATAGCTGGAATTAACCTTTTAAAAAATATATAGTCTATATATTAATAACTGGTTTATTTTATTCCAACCATCATGATTTACATTTTCCAATTATTGTACATTCTTGTTGCCTTTCTTTTCTCTGTTTCTGATGTTGGCTAGATAGATTTTTTTAAAAATCTGTTGTTTTTAGGTGTGCCAAGACAAAAAAAAAATGGCCCAAATGGAAGAACAGATCAAAGCTCCAGAATAATACAACTAAGCAAGGAAGAGATAGCCAACCTATCAGATGCACAGTTTGAAGCACTGGTGATCAGGATGCTCACAGAATTGGTTGAATTTTGTCACAAATTAGATGAAAAAATGAAGGCTTTGCTAAGTGAAATGAAGGAAAATGCTCAGGGATCCAACAGTGATGGGAAGGAAACTGGAACTCAGATCAACAGTGTGGACCAGAAGGAAGAAAGAAACATCCAACCAGAAAAGAATGAAGAAACAAGAATTCAAAAAAATGAGGAGAGGCTTAGGAACCTCCAGGACATCTTTAAACATTCCAATATCCGAATCATAGGAATACCAGAAGGAGAAGAGGAAGAGTAAGAAATGGAAAACTTATTTGAGTAGATAATGAAGGAGAGCTTCCCCAATCTGGCAAAGGAGAGAGACTTCCAGGAAGTCCAGGAAGCTCAGAGTGTCCCAAAGAAGTTGGACCCAAGGAGGAACACACCAAGGCACATCATAATTACATTAGCCAAGATTAAAATGAAGGAGAGAATCCTAGAAGTAGCGAGAGATAAGGAGACAGTCACCTACAAAGGAGTTCCCATCAGACTGTTAGCTGATTTCTCAAAAGAGACCTTGCAGGCAAGAAGGGGCTGGAAAGAAGTATTCCAAGTCATGAAAGGCAAGGACCTACATCCAAGATTGCTCTATCCAGCAAAGCTTTCATTTAGAATGGAAGGGCAGAGAAAGTGCTTCTCAGATAAGGTCAAATTGAAGGATTTCATCATCACCAAGCCCTTATTATATGAAATGTTAAAGGGATTTATCTAAGAAAAAAAAATGTGAACAGTAAAATGACAACAAACTCACAGTTACTAACAACCACACCTAAAACAAAAACAAACTAAGCAAACAAGTAGAACAGGGACAGAACCACAGAAATGGAGATCACATGGAGAGTTATCAACAGGGGAGTGGGAGGGGGAGAGAGGGGGAAAAGGTACAGAGAATAAGTAGCATAAATGGTAGGTAGAAAATAGACAGGAGGAGGTTAAGAATAGTATAGGAAATGTAGAAGCCAAAGAACTTATATGTATGACCCATGGACATGAACTAAAGCAGGGGGTAGGGAGGGGAATGTGGGTGGGAGAGGGTGTGCAGGGCAGAGGGTAATAAAGAGGGGAAAATGGGACAACTGTAATAGCATAATCGATAAAATATATCATTAAAAATCTGTTGTTTTTGAAGTACTGCATCCTATTTTCATTGTTATAATGGCAAATTGTACCTTTTATAAAGTAATTTTTTAATTAAAAAATTTTTATTTTTACATTATACTTGATATACAGTATTACATTAGTTTCAGGAGTACAACCCAGTTGTTAGACATTGATATAACTTACCAAGTGATGATCCCGATACTCTAGTACCCATCTAACACCATACATAGTTATTACAGTATTATTGGCTATATTTCCTATGTTGTACTTTACATCCCTGTGACTGTTTTGCAACTGCCAATCTCTCTTGCTCCATTCTTCTCTCTCTGAAATCAATAAATGAAAAAAAATTTTAAATACCATGTTGGTAGCAGGCCTCCAAGATGCCCTGCAGTCATCCTTGCCTCCTCTTATTTACTTCTCTGCGATTGTGATATATATTTTAGTCTTTGTCCCCAGCCCCTGGCCAGAGCTTTTAAAACCTTCATAATTTTCTAAGTGGTAAAGTCACTATGAACATGTTTTTGCTTTTATGTTTGGTCTTTAACCTTGATTCTTGGCACAGAGCTCCTAAGTTCCTTGAAAATTTTCTGGGTGATAGGAGCATTTTTTGTCCTAATGAGATGGCTTTTGGTGTGCCCCTGGATAGGCCAAACAGTGATTACAAGCTTGGAACTTTCAGCCCCACCCCTGCCTGAGAAACAGGCAGAGACTGGAGTTTGAGTTAATCATGAATCATCAATTGTCCCTATGTGATGAAGCCTCCAAAAACAATCCCTAAGCTATAGGGTTCAGGGAATTTCCAGTTTAGTGAACACATCACATGATGGGAGGGTGGCATGTGGCAACTCTAAGGGGACAGAGGCTCCTGGGGTTGGGAGGGGCTCGTCTCTGCTTCACTGTTGGTCTGTTGGTCCACTGGATGGATGGGCAAGTAGAGACCTGAAACCTGGTACCAATGATTACATTAAACTGTATTTTTGGGGGCAAGTAGTTCAAAAGGTAGGGTGTTGGCTTATTGTTATACAGTTACTGATACCAGGATATATTTCTAAAGTGTAAATACATTACGGTACTTCCCGAGACCTCTGGTGAGTCATCAGTGCTTAAATCGTAAAGTCTGTGTTTCCCATGTGGCTTTTAAAACTCTTCACAATCTAATCCAAACCTCTATTTCCACCTCTTTCATTATTCCAAGCCTACCCCCTATCCCAGTCCCCTATTTCTTGAAATCTGGTCTTAAACTACACCAAAAAACTGGCCCTTGACTCATCAGGCAACATGTGATGAATTATGCTTCCCACGCTCTTGACACATCCATAGTGAAAACACATATTTACCCTGAATTACTCAGAATATATCCTGCCCAGGCTGTCAGGTGGCTCAATATAAATTTGATTCCTATCCACTGAACTCTTATTACTAACTCATTAGCTTAATTATCTTTTCCATTTATTTGGACCAGATCTCTGTCCTTTAAGACTTTAAATTATAAAACCAATGGACTATAGAAAAGCAGAAAAATACTAATTTTTAAAAAGAAATGCTATTATTTCAAAAACAATAAGTACCTAACTGTATAAACTATTATAGCCCTCCATTCTTCCCTCATCACACTCCCCAGAAAGAGCTGTTGTTCAGCACAGTAAGTATGCTTTTGGACATTTTATGTAAGCAACTGAAACTCGCATTGCTGGTGGGACCGTAAATTGCCATAATCATTTTTTAGTGATACATCTTAGTTATTTTTTATTTTATTGTATTTTTGTATTGTATTTGTATTTATTTATTGTCTTTTATTGTATTTCCATTACCATTTAGTCCCCTTTTACCTCCCTCCCACCTGTCCAAGCATAATCATTTTGGAAAACTGTTTGGCAGCATCTACTAAAAGAATATATACATAGAAATACAGTAGTTTTACTCTTAGGTATATACCCAACAAAATGTAGACATATGTGAACTAAAAATATATAAAAAAGATATTCATAGATCATTATTCATCATAAACCCAAACTAGAAACAACCTGATTATAGAATGGATAAGTAAACTTTGGTATATTCAATGAAAATGCCAGATAGCAACAGAAATTAACAAGCTATAGTAACGTTCAATGTGAATATATCTCACAAACAATGACGATCAAAGAAGCCAGACACAATAGAAAATATACAGTATGATTATATTTATTTAAAGCTCAAAACAGCCAAACCAACCTATAGTGATAAAAATCAGGAAATGGGCTCCTCTGGAGAGCACTAGGAGAGTGCATGAGGGAGCCCCTCCGCTGTTAATGGATGTAATTGCTTTGTGATAATTTATTAAGTTGAACATTAATGCAGTAAAACGATATCGATCTCATTATTTTTAATGTCTCCAGAGTCTTCCATTAGATGAATGTTTACCATTTTATTTAACTGTTTCTATTTTGTTGGGATGTTTACATTGAACTTAGGATTTTATTCCTATTATAATGTGGTAACCATGTCTTTTTCCATTTGTGTGAATATATCTGTAAGATACATTTCTAGTAGAGATACTGATGCTTTAAAAGGAATACACATTGTAAAGGTTGATGGGCATTTTCATATAACCTGCAAAATAAACTGTACCAATTTGCATTTTCACCAACAGGATGTGATTGCTTAATTTCTAATAACCTGGAAATTCATTGGGTGTAACTATGTCTTTTATTTTGCTGCCTCTCTAGTGGGTGGAGACATTTTCTCAAAGCTGCATTCATTTGTACTTTTAAATTACTGATGAAGCCGTGGTTGGGTGGCTCAGCTGGTTGGAGTGTCCTCCAGATACAACAAGATTGTGGGTTTGGTCCCTTGTCAGGGCACATAGAAGAATCAACCAACGTATGCATCTCTCTCTGCCCCCCCTTTCTTCTCTTTCTCTAAAATAAATAAATAAATGATTTTAAAAATAAAATATAAATTACTAGTGAAGTTGAAATTTTTTCATGTTATTAGCCATATGTTTATGATGTTTTATGAGCTGCCTATTTATATTTTTATCCTTCCCTGCCCCCAACCAGGGAATAACTTACTTCTAATAATATATCTTAAGAATACTAACCCTTTGCCCTGACTGGTGCGGCTCAGTTGGTTGGTTGTCATCCTGCCAAGTGAAGGGCTGGTGGTTTGATTCCTGGTCAGGGCCCATGACTGGGTTGGGGGCTTGGTCCCCAGTCAGTCGAGGCACATACGAGAGGCAGCTGATCGATGTTCCTCTCCCTCCCTTTCTCTCTAAAAGTAAATAGTTTTTAAAATTGTATTTTATTGATTATGCGATTCCAGTTGTCCTGTTTTTTTCACCTTTGTACCCCTCTATCAAGCAACTCCTGCTCCCTCAGGCAATCCCCCCACCATTATTCATGTCCATGGGTCATACGTATAAGTTCTTTGGCTACTCCATTTCCTATACTCTGCTGTACATCCCCATGGCTATTCTGTACCTACCTGTTTGTGTGCCTTAATCCCCTCACCTCTTCACCCATTCCCCTACACCTGTTCCCATCTGGCAACCATCAAAACGCTCTCCAGGATTCTCTCTGTTTTTTTTTGTTTGCTTAATTTGTTTTTTAGATTCTATTGTTGATAAATATGTACTGTTTGCCTTTTTATTGTTCATTGTTTTGATCTTTTTCTTAGACTAGTCCCTTTAACGTTTCATGTAATAATGGTTTGGTGATGATGAACTCCTTTAGTTTTTTCTTGTCTGGTAAGGTCTTTATCTGCCCTTTCATTCTAAATGGTATCTTTGCTGGGTAGAGCAATC